TTTCTTTTTGTTTTACAAGTGAAGAGAGAAAATATCATTCTAGATTAGTTATGTCACATTAATTCTTACTTTCATTGCCGTTAACAAAGAAAATGGCAAATATTTTTATAATTAGAAAGTTTCTTACTTATTAGCGAGGAATATTTAGTTTAACCATCAGTTATTTATCGTTGAATAATGATCTTAATCAGTTACTATTTTGTTGTACGTAGTACTTTAATCTAAGAGAATTTGTAAAGAATTGTAATTGAATAGAATATATTGATTCATACTTCACATGAATTAGTTTTTTTTATAGACAGCTTACGAGGCAATCTCTTCAGGTGCGTCGTTTCAAGTTTAATGACTTTTTTTGCCTATAGATACTGAATAGTGTTCTAGTAAAACCTCTAAAAGAATTTCGATTCCTGATGGAATTCGGCTAAGCTATCAAATATATGTTATATCTATTTTCAAGACACTAGGCTTCCGAAAAAATCGAATTCCCGAATTTTGACCAGAAACTTTGCTTGTGTATAGTCTTTAACTTACTAGGTTCCATTAAAATAATCAGAAGTTTTAAACAAAGCCTCTTTGAGATATAAAAATTTCAAAAAGATTCGTGCTCTATATGCTATGTATAGAAAAGGGTCTATATCGTAAAAAGGCTTTGTTCAAAACTTCTGACTTATTTTATGAATACTATTATAGTTAAGATCTATAAACGAGCAAAGTTTCAGGCTGAAATTAGAAGATTAGATTTGTCCAGAAACTTGCCCCTTGAAACCATATATATTGCAAATCTGATAGTCTAGTTAAATTTCACTAGGATTCCAGATCCTTTTAGAGTTTTTACCAGAACATTATCAGTATTTGTAAGCAGAAAAATTATAAAAACTAAAACGTGGCACCTGAAGAGGTTTCTCCGCTAGTTGATAGATTAAATGTTGAAATAAGTTTCTATTTGGCAGAATGGTTTACCTAATTTAAAATGCTTTTCATTAATATTTTATGGTAAAACTACATAGGAAAATCAAGTGATAACTCTCCTTTGTCATGTGTCACATCTGAAAAAATTAACTTTGTATCTTGGTATCTGTGGTTTAGAACTACATTCATCAATGATACTTATCTTTATAATCAAGTTCTTAAACATATGTCAGGACTTCAGACATGCACTTTGTATATAAGTACTGAGATAGATTTCGATGATTCAGTTCATCGTTTGTCTGATGATAATATTCAGCAAACTTCTACAAATCTAGCTTATCATCAAAGGAGTTGTGGTGTAAAGTATCTTCGTAGTGGTGAAGCGTTATGTCGTGTCTTTTCATTTCCGTTCGTATTTGATCGTCACGAAAAGATCAGAAATAACTTTCCAACTATGTAATACAATCATATAACTTATATGGCTGTAATTGATGCAATCCCATTTACATATGAACTTTTCATTCGCATTACCAAAGCTTTTCCCTCGTTGAAATATTTTTCTATTGTAAATGTGATGTTACCATTATCGAATTTTGGTCTACATAAACGTGATAATATTCAATCCTATTCAGTTATTGAATATCGCAATCTTACTTGGCTCAGTATTTTTTATGTCAATAAGTACTATATTGGACAATATTAATCAGTTGAAAACTGTCACGTAGAACTTTACAAGAGTTGCAACACGATATAATAGTACTACGATTATTACTCCTACTTTGTGACAGACAAGGCGACTGCCTTGTGATTTTTTTTTATATCAATCTGCTATTGCATAAATGAAATATATTACTAAAAATTAGTCACAGTGGAGGAAATCCTTAAAGACGGCATTTAAATTTGATGCATTGGGTTGATATTTCAGAATGAATAGTGAAGATATTTATAAACATTAAAATATTCATTAAATTGAAGTTGAATGTTCAATTCTGTTGCAGATATAAATGGTAATTAACGTCTATCCTCTCATGATCATAGTGATATAAGCAGCATTTTCATCCATTTAATCTATTCAAAATACTTTTGAACAGAAATCAAATTTTTGTTCATTTGTACTTTCATTCTATATCTTCATCTTTCTGTGGAACAACACCATTTAAATCATCAAGGTTTCATTCACAGAAAAACCTTCTATTGTAAACGACTCTATAATGTGAACAGCTCTTTATAGTAAAATTATGCATCTATATTTTTGAGTTTCACCAATCAGAAAAGTTTACAAAGCCATATTTTTTGCTCTACTCTTATTATTATATACTCGCGTAGTTCGAATCGCTCATCAGTAATCGATAGATACTGAATTCGTTGTAATTAATTCTTCTATTCCTGTTTTCAATCAGTGGGATATTAATTAACATTCAAGAGGACTCGTTGAGATTGATAGAAGACTGGACGACGATATTTTTTCTGGAGAAAATCTGCCTATTTTGTTTGAATCACTGAAAATGATGATCGAATTTTTATTTTTTTTTGTTCATAGCGTCCTAAATGAGAACACAATTTAGTCGATTAAGATAAAGGTGCTCTCTTTTAGAAACGGAAAAGTAACATTGGTTTCGTTCATGTTACGCTTTCAAAAACATGCGAGGAACCATTCTTTGTTAAGTTAGTCACTGCAAACTGAGACTATTAGGTCTGTCTAGTCTATAAAAAGACGGGTAAAAGCAAAGAGTAGGTGTGGATATGCGTATTGAAATTGATGAAGAAAAGACCTACATCAACGTTCTTTGATGGCTTGAATTTTTATTTTTATGACATTCGAAATGTTACTTTTTTAGTGTTACTATCATTCTTTCTCCTTTTTAGATTATCCTTTTTTCCACTCGTCTCCATTCTTTTTCTTCTTTTTCTGTCCTTCTCTCACTACTATTGTTTTTTCGTCTGTTTTTTCATTACATTTTATCAGCCAGACGTAGCATTTATATCTATTTTGCTTATGGTTGTGTTAATCAAGCAGCTGCGAACGTTGACGAAATTTCTCGTAAGCATTTCAGATTGTAACATTAAAGAGGACGAAACCAAAAAAATATATTTTTACTTTTCAAGACATTCTATGTTAATGGGGATCAATCATAGATTTAAAAGAGCTCAAATTTGATTTTAACTTGTGAAAGAGTGGAAAAAATGTACTCTTTCACGTTTAATAAACGGACGTTTTTGAAAATAAGCAAGTTTGTTGACGTTATCGTTTTCAAACTCGTTTTCTTTCAAAACAAACTGTTTTTAACGTGTAAAAGCACATACTACAGCACATAAAAACGTGTTTTTGCGTCGATTTTGTCTGAATGAGCAGAAAAGAAAAAATGACATGTTGTCTATTAAATACTCTATATAAATGAGCTGCGAAATGTAATTTTTAATATAAGCTACGAAAAAAATCAATCAAAATTTTGCGTTAACAGTAACATAAGTCGAACTCGATCAGGATACATCAGTAGGTTTTCATTTTTATTTTCGCTAATTTTGTTCTTATTTGAAGACTTTCTTCTTTCGGTCGAGTCAGGTGATAAAACTCATTTTGATCGATTGTTTTAGTAGTAATAATAAATAGCGAAAAAACTTTATGATTATAGTTTCAATGATAAATGTTGAATTGTGATGACGGCAAATTTCATTCGGAATATCAATACTAGCTTCAAGGCTAATAATACAGTACGTATAAAGTTTTCAGTGATCATTAAGTAAAGTCAATACTGGCGAGTATTTTGCCCGTCAAACAGAGCATGAAATATTGCTTTCCAGTGGTTTTCGTGAACAATATACGCAGTAAATCCAGTATAATTCTATTAGATATTTCAAGTTACTATTTACATCAGCTGACAATGGAACATGAAAAATTTTGTTTAACTAAAAATCTCTTTTACTGGTGCTATCAAGACAAAAACGATGATCGATGTGTTTGGCAAGTGCTGAGCAGAACGATAATTTCTTTATAATACAACAGTTTGAAAAAACTCAGAAAATATAGTTTCAGCTTCTCAAGACATTTTCTAATGATACATTTGAAAAGACTAGTATTTTGAGTTTAGCCACAGTCAATTTTTTCTATTAGCGACAAAAGAATTCTAATATACATGTATATAGTGTGATCAAGGCTCATAGGAATAAAATAGCTGAATCTCCTTAACCATTGGAGACCGTGGTCACTAAAGTAGCACGCGGATAGCCACAATCACACATCGACTTCCACGCAAGATTGACATTCAGTTAGGGCTCAAAATTAATGATGAAATGTCCCGTTCTAATTTCCATAGCTTCTCTCAAGAGAGATGAATCCTTTTTTATTCAATCATAAGATAGACCATATGATAGCTAAAAAAAAGATACTTTATCTTTTTATCTATTTGATATAGTAAAGTAACGAAACAAAACAATTGCATATTCTAATGTACGTCATTGGTGTCGATGTCGGGGGCACGAATACAGGTTAGAATTATAAATTCACTAGTGAATATATACATGAGTTTTCTCTAGATGCTGTTCTGGTACATATTCAACCTGGTCATGGTACGCTATATAGCATCTTGTTTTTCTTTGTTACATTTTAATTATTTCCTTTATTTATGTGTTAATTCAAAAAGCACCCGAAGTGGTGGCTACCAACAAATCAACGACAAGTTCAGACGTATTCTCAGGCGTTCTACACTCGATTCAACAGGTTCTTCAGGATAATGAAGTGGCCGCTGTCATGATTGGTACGACACACTTTATCAATGCTCTTATTCAACGGCAAAACCTTGCTCGAGTGTGTACTCTACGCCTGTGTGGACCAGCAACACGTTCACTGCGGCCTATGTCCAATTGGCCAGATGATTTGAAGAAGCAGGTGACATATTCGAAGTTTTATGTGAATTTAAAGTTGTCGATTCACTACACTATTCAAATCTTATAACTTACATAACAATTCAACCAATAACTACGTCAAAATCAAAGAGGGGTGGATCTAATCTAGTACCTAGCGACCGAAGGAGAAAACTACGGATCGGTTTCTACTTAATATTGTATAAGATAAAGTCATCCTGAACAAGATTATGCATGCAAGTCTTTCTGGACAATACATGGTAACGGTAAAGCAATAGAATAAGCTTTTAATTGTAATATTTGTATCAGATAGACGAATATCAAATTTACCCTTTCATATTAAACTCAAATGATACTAACACATTACCTTATCTTGAGAGAATACATCTAGCTTCTATTGCCCTATAAGGAGGAATATTGTTCTAAATTGAAAACAATTATTGTCATATAGTCATCTAGGGTGTATTCAGAAACTACACGTTCCATTAAAGCGACGATTTGGTCGATGAATGATGACGTATGTTGAGATCGACAAGCATGTTTTAGAAACCTCATTGACAAAAGAAAAGAATAAAGAATATGAGAGACAAACAAATGGTTCTTACATTCTATAAATATTTGAAGGCTTTCGACAGATGGAAGTTGGAAGATTATTTACACTTTGTGGTGATGTTTAATTTATATTAGATTTATAATCTAATATAAATTGAACATTTCGTTGTAATGGCTTATTGTCATATTAGATTCTTGGAATTACATTTGAAGAGATACGTATACTGTTTTTTTATAAAATATTTAATGCTGAAAAGACGGGTTATTTTAATTCTACTATAATGGTTTAGACAATGAAAGTATCTGGGCTAAATCAAAAGTGAGCAAAGATAAATGTTCAAGTGTCATTAATGTCTTCATCATCCTTTGATGAAATATCTCATTCATCGTCTGAAATAAGGTGGATCGAATTCGACTCAACACGTTCTTTTGCAAACTAATCGGTAGCTGTAAACTAATATGAAAGTGTAAATTTCACATTCGTCTATCTAATGTAAATATTACAATCAAAAACTTATTCTATTGGTATACCCTTTCCACGTGTTTTCCCGAAAGACTTGCACGCATAACACTGCTCAGAATGACTTTATCTTATATAATATAATATCGAAAAAGATCCAGCAATTTTCTCTTTCGATTGCTAGCTGCTGCCGTCATCGAATTATTGACTAATAATCACCTCTCTTTAATTTTGACACGGACATTAGTGTACTGAAAGCATTTGGCTCACACAGGTTGAGAAAGCATGTTTTTTTTCTTTTATTTGTTTAGGTGGATGGTTTGACAGCGCTGGTTTCTGGTGGCTATTTTTTTGATGGTTCTCTCATCACTTCTTTGAACGAAGACGAAATTCGCGCGCTTGTTCGTCAAGCTCTTGCATCTGATATTCATTCATTTTGTGTTTGTGGTGTTTTCTCTCCATGCCGACCTGATCAAGAACAACGTGTAGCTGAAATCATTCGGGAAGAATCATCAGATGTATTCATCACTCTTTCACATGAAATTGCCGGCTTGGGCTTAATCGAACGTGAGAATGTCTCGATTCTTAATGCATGTCTTCACCCACTGGCTTTTCGCACGATGAGAGCATTAGAACAAGCTCTTCCTCCTGGAATACCTCTGTTTCTCACTCAAAATAATGGAACTTTGTTATCTATTGATCAATGTATTCGATTCCCTGTTCTTACATTTGCTAGTGGTTCGACGAACTCAATGATTGGTGCAGCTCATCTGACTGGTATTCAAAACGGGATAGTAATTGATGTGGGAGGAACATCGACTGATATTGGAGTGATTGCCAATGGAAGGCCAAGACAAACATTTGCGGTTAGACAGCTCTGGATAAATTTCTAATCAATAATACTATTTCGTAAATAGAAAGTATATCTGGTCGATGACATTCGTGTCAACATGAGCATGCCTGATGTTCTTTCTTTGCCATTAGGCGGTGGCACAATTATACATGTTGATGAGGACACTGGATCAATATGCGTTGGTCCAGATAGTGTCGGCTATCAATTAGTAACTCATGCATTGGCATTTGGTGGTCAAACTATCACTGGTACAGATGTAGCGCTAGCTGCCAAATTGACTTCTGAGGTTAGTACTGATTTCTGTAGAAAGTTATAGCTATATATTGAATATAAGATTGGTCATTCTATTGTACAATTGCCATCGTTCATTGTTGAACAAGTGCTCGATCATATAAGAAATACAATCAATAGAGGCATCATTCGAATGAAAACTAATCAAGAGCCTATACCTGTCATTTTGTGCGGCGGTGGATCAATTCTTGTGAATCCAAAACAAGTTTTCGACGGTGTCACACATGTATTCTTAACCTAGTTTTTACATGCATCGACTGTTTTCTCTTTTTCTAAGATGATTCGTCCACCTCACTATGCGGTCTGCAATGCTGTGGGTGCTGCTCTTTGTCGAGTTAGCGCTAGCATTGAATCGATTGTTGACCTTGTTCCATCATCAATCGACGATGGCGTACAACGAAAGCGTGAAATCGACCGATTGACATTAATGGTTCAACAGCAATGTGAACGAAATGGTGCTCAGTCAAATACGATTCAGTTAGTCGACATAGAGCAAGTACCGCTAGCATACTATCCAGGAGGATATAAGCATCGAGTATTATTGACTGCTATCGGACAGCTCGATCTTTCCAAATTGAAAGGATATCACCGACAAAAGGGGGAGCAACAGCACTTGTCAGAAGTCCCAGTAAGAAAACCGCAATTATCTAGGCCACCAAAATATATGAGCATGGTCAACAAGCAACCTATGTTTGACGACAATGGTAATTGGATCATCGATACGATTGATATCGAATACATCGCTTATGGAGCTGGCATTCTCGGTAAATTGTTACATTTATTTTTGTACAGTTCTCTCACATTTCTGCTGGAATTCGTATTCCAAACTGATGAGATTTATTTTGATAAGTTTACGACATAAATTAATTAAAGAATAATCTAAAATTAATATATTTTATGAAAGAGAATTATTACAAGAATCTATCAGATATACACAAAATCTACATATTGTTTCTATAAGTTTAATTTATAAGTTACTATTTACATAAATTCTATATGTAAGCATATATATTTTTCTTCAGTCGAATTAAGTCTATTAAATTTCACTATGGTCTAGCAGAGTCTACTAGAGTCTAGCCAATATTGTCAAACATGAAAGTTAAATTCAATTGAAAGACAAATCGTGAAGTTTCAAGGTTTGATTTAAAAAAAAACAACTGCCTCTCCTGAGATCTTTCTGTACCCTTTCTTAAAATTTAAAACCTGTATTAAATTCATCTTTCAGGTTTAACATGTACGGGTCTACCAGGTTAATAGACCCTGGTAGGCCTATGATAAATATTGATAGAAACTAATAAAGACTGATTTACTATATAATTCATTTCTTTTGAATTATTTTGTGATTCATTTGTGTCAATCCACTGACTTTCACCAAGTTTTCTACCTTCTAAGCATTCAGAAATACTAAGTTTCTCTATCAATTGTACTAGTCTACGTACGACTAGCTGTTCTATGAAATGTCCGCTCTTCAAGAGTACCAGTAGATCTTTTTAAAACAACATAGAAAAGGAGATGTGCTATTGTAGGTTGTGGTGGTGGCGGTGAACCTTATCACACAAAATTGTCATGTCTAGAAATGTTGAATACCTGCAACGGTGTCATGCGTGTAATACCTCCTTCTTCTCTTCATCCATCGTTGGATATGGCCGCTATTGTTGGTTTCATGGGTGCACCCACAGTATCTTATGAGCAGTTACCAAGTGGTAATGAGTGTCTGTTGGCTATCAGTACTATCGAAGCATATCTCTCTAGAAAAGTTACATCAGTATTCTGTGGAGAAATCGGCGGTGCGAATGGTTTACGTGGTTTGTTAGTGGCAGCAAGCAAACAAGTTCCATGTGTCGATTGTGACAACATGGGAAGAGCCTTTCCTCGACTCGATCAGAAGCTGTCATTCATTCGAGGTCAAAGTGTCACACCTACTTGTTTGTGTGATGTTCATGGACGTACGGTGTTGTATACACAAGAGACAATCAGAGACGCACAAGAGCTTGAGGAGACATTAAGAAAGGAATGTACAAAGATGGGTCTTAGAGGTGGACTTTGTCTACCACCGTTGACAGGTGACCAAGTACAAAAATACACAGTGCATCATAGTCTGTCCCTAGCTTGGTTCCTCGGTAAGTGTTAGAGACTTTTCATAGATGAATACATGGATATCTGTAAATAGGGAAAGCTAAATTTAATAATCATAATAATGTTATTCAAGCAGTTGCCCAAGCTGGTCATGGTTGGATCGTTATTTCAGATGGAAAAGTAATCGGTGTAGAACGGAACACTGGCTCTGGTTTTGTTCGAGGTCATGTAATAATCGATGTCGAAGGAAAAATATTGACAATAGATTTTCAAAATGAAAATTTGGTGGCTCGTTTCGAAGACAAAGTAATTGCCAGTGTACCTGATCTGATTACACTCGTCGAACAGGACTCAGACGAACCGTTGTCTACAGAAACTGTCAAATACGGATGTCGTATCTCAGTGCTTGTGCTACCAGCGCCTGAGGCAATGACCACACTAGAGTCTCTCAAATATGTGGGACCTCGTGCATTTGGCTATGACCATGATTACATACCACCTTCGTATCATGTTCCAATTAAATCCGTTTGGGACGTATATTATAATAAACCTTCTATATCACATAATAATTTTATAGTGAATGAAAACGCTAATTAATGTAAAAAACATCATCGACATCAGAAGAATTAATTCATCCGTTAATTGCATTTCTTGCCCTTAATATTTACAATTTATCGTTTATCTCTATGCTGCACGTATTGAAAAGAGTACTTATGTTATGTTGGATTATTGCACTATTGTAGACAAAACCTTTCCTCGTATCAATAAATTTCTAGACTATTCTTCTGACTCTGATACAATATTTTCCTCGCTCTATCTTTTCTAAGAATTTGATCAAAAAAAAATGCTTCAAATCCAAAAAAAAATATTCAAAATAGCGAACAATGCTTTTCGGGTGTGGATATTAATAAAGAGGACATTCTTACTCACGATCACAATCACTCCAACATGCAGATCCTAAACTCAGCTGTCCCATAATTATAACTACACATACGCATATATCAAATACTTTAGAATAAAACTGCATGCAAAATTATGGTTCATTGATTTCTTCACTTATTTGTTTAAAAATTTTGATGCTAATAAATGTACGTACACCTGCAACTAAACAGAAACAAAGTTATTCGATGATGAATGATTCATCTAAAGTAATATTGATTAATTTTATTTTTCAAATTCATCAAGTTTCTTGCCGCATTCATCTTCACGTATTTGCCAATCTTTTGACCATTTAATTTCAAAAATGAATGGAGCAACAACGACTATACTTACTATTGTAATCAACCTTCATGGCGATTCAGTTTCAGTAAGGTCACGCATCTTCACAGACGAGTTCAATAAATCAAATTGGTTGAAGGATCAATTTAAACGAAATGCGAATAGCTATAGTCTTTAAATATGCAAATTTTTCTCTCCTGAAGGAGAAAAAAAATTCTCATGCAATTATTCATTTCGAACCAGAGATGAGCACAGGACAAGATTTTTCGCCCTGTCCTGCTAGCCAGCTGAGTCCTGGCGGGCGGCAGGACAGGACAAAAATCAAAATCGCGTCCTGTCCTATTTTGTCCTGCTGACTTGTTGTGTCCTTACGGGTCATAGGATAATACATGAAAACTTTGTTCTAATTTGTTTTGCTAATTCATTCCATTTTTTTCGAGCGACAGAGAGTCGATCATCAGAGTCCTTAATCTGACTATCGTTGATCAAAGCAAATATTACTATTACTTACGTTAGACCTAATTTATTGTTTACTATCGTAAAATACAAGAAAAACACTCTAGATCATCACTTATTTTATAAATGCAATAAAGTATAATAAAAACTTTATTCTATATCTTGATGGCACATTCATGACAAGAAAAAAAAATACAAAAAATGAACATGATTGATTGTAACATGATTATCTTCTTTTATACTAGAAATTATCTCTGAAAAGTAACAACAACATAGACTTTTATCACAAAAAACAACTATTTGTCATAAATAAATGTACTATAACAATTGAAACAACTAATATATCCCGACATTCTTTGAAATACACCATGTTCAGCTAATTTTCCTGGATAAACAAAGACTTCCGACCAACCTATTAATGGTGTTGAGGATTCTTTTTTTATAGCACTATATTTATTTGTTTCGTATTTAAGTAATTGTTTAATTTTTGAGGAATTTAATGTGTTCGACGACGATGAAATTTTACTACTGCTCATGCTGAATATTTATTTTGAGATTCAATAAATCGAAACAAATAAAATACAAAGTAAAATAAAAAACATTCAAGGTGAAAAGACCAAAGAACACTTGTTTCGTGTTGCTTTCTCTTTGTATTGTGACTGAAAATTTCTGAATCATCGATGATAACATCTAATTGGTAGCTTTTTTTCAACGAATATTTGAATTAGTGTTATTATTCATTCTAATAGCGATATCTATCACTTATCACATATGTCGAGTGTTAAAAAGTGACGCGTCGAAAATGGTAGTCGTTTAAAAAAATATGAACAACTATAGAACAAAAAGTTCACACGAGAAATTTTTTTGTCCTACTCGGTCCTGTTCTAATCGCTATCTTTGTCCTGGCGGGCGGCAGGACAGGGCAAAAATCAAAATCGCGTCCTGTCCTGTGCTCATCTCTGTTTCGAACATTTCGTTATAGAATAGAAACGAAGAGCTGCACATAAGAAATATGACTCTTCTATTTGCATCAAAAATGACCAAATTTATTTTTTACTAACCTATTTGAACTCTTTTGATTTCAGATGCGGTTGTTCGAACAGGAAAGTCTTCATAAGAAAAATGTAAAGTAATATTCAAATTAAAAGAATATCCACTTATTAAAAATTTTTCTATTTTCAATATTTCAGCTCTAAATGGATTCGATTCTTTATCTCTTAATGTTGCATAGTAAAAATTCTGTTGAAATTATTCTATTTGTCTCTAAAAATCAAAAGATAACGTTTTTCTTTACTTGCTATATTATTTTACCATATCATCTAAATGTATTTTGTGAAATACGATCTGAAAGGAGTGTTGAAGTGTTTAAGGGTAGAAATTTGGACCCCCCTCCCCCCACAGACCGTGACAGACACTCACGTGACCCATCACAGACCGTGACAGACACTCACGTGACCCATCACAGACTGTGACAGACATCTTAATTAATTAATTAGTATTTATTTATTTAATTAATTAATTAGTATTTAATTAGCTAATTAACCGTCACAGACCGTGACAGACAGGGTTTGGACCCATCACAGACCGTGACAGACAGGCTTTAGACCCATCACAGACCGTGACAGACAGGGTCTGGACCCATCACAGACCGTGACAGAGAAACTGTACTTCTCAAGCATCAGATAAACGGTTAGCTACAAATGTATTGCAAAGAAATAGAACAAAACGATTTCCATTTAATTAGTAACAACAGATCCATCGTGTTTCACATTTTTAATCCCGCAAGGGATTGCGCTAACAGCTCTTTTTTTTACTTTTGCTGAACGTTGATTTTCAATCGATAAAACCATATCTTATCGTATCTATAAATACATGAATTATTATTCTATATATTAAGAGAAAAAGCTTAAATTCAATATCAACAATTAAGTGACTCGTTGACCGTTAATATTAACGAAATAACGTAATTGCAGTCGCCCAGTTTTTGTTATTAATGATGTATTAGTTATTAATTCTCACTATAAATTTAATATAAATATTTCACTCTTTCCAAGGGGCCTGAGTATATTTATATCGACATACATATAGAAATAGATGAATGGACACATATGTACATAAATAGAATCCGAGAATGGATTAAGAAGTGAAGTTAAGAGAACATAATAAATGGAAAAATTAATGAATTAGGTTAGGCGGATAGACATATCTTGAAAGCTGAGCTTAATAGGGCACACCAAGGAGATAGTTCAATGGTAATATTAGAGTAATAGATTAAGCAAATATACAAGGGGTATAGACCAAAGAAATAAGCTGAACACTTACGTTAAGAAGATAAGTATAGATTCTGGAATTAGGATGGATGTGGTTGAATGTGAAGAACATATTCACACCCATACCCTCGCGAATTCTTGTTGTTGAACGTTGAAACAATGTCCGTAAAATTTGCTGTTGAATTTGGTTAAAATTTTTACTCTAAAATACTCACCACGTGTTACCCTAGAATA